GCTGGCCAAGCAACTTTGCTTTAGTTAATATAATTGAAGTAAAAATGATCTGTGCAAATGTAAGACATGTAAAATAAAAGAGCATATCTCCTGTTTTTTCTCCTGTCTTTCTAGTTTTATTATGGCCATGGCAATGAGACATCTTGAACCATATGGAAGGTGGAAACAACAAGGTATGATGCAACAATAAATAAAAGGATCTGGACCCTATCAAGACTTCAAATATAGGAGCCTTCATAGAAGTTGATACTTTAAGAGACAAAGAAAAACTTATCAACATAGCTATAGTTAAGTTGAGAGACTGTTACAGTCAGCCATCAAATATTCATTAAGGTAGATAGTTACACTGATATTTTGAAATGAAGTTAAGGAAAGGAGACAGTGATGTTTGGAAGATTATCGTTGACACATATTCAAGTAATCATCACCAAGCCCATTATCAAGATCTCCCCATGTTTTCTAGGAGTTTTACACTTTCACATATTGCATTTAGGTCTTTAATCCATTTTAAGTTGTTTTTTGTGTATGGTTTAGTCCAGTCTCATTTTGTTGCATGTGAATATTCAGTTTTCCCAGCACCATTTATTGCAAAGACCCATTGCATCTTTTTGGTGGTCCTGTAGAAAATTAATTGACCTTGTATGCTTGGATTTATTTCTGGACTCTCTATTTTGTTTCATTGGTCCATGTGTCTGTTTTTGTGCCAGTATACCATTTTTTTTGATTACTATTGCTTTAAATTATAATTTAAAATCAGAAAGTGTGATCCTTCAACTTTGTTTTTCTTTCTCAAGATTGCTTGGGCTACATGGGTCTTTTGTGGTTTCATACAAATTTTAGAATCAGTTTTTCTATTTCTGTGAAAAATACCACTGAAATTTGGTAAGGATTATATTGAATATATACATATATACTCAGTATATATATGTATATATCAATTTGAGTTATGGACAGTTTAACAATGCCAATTTTTTTTCATGAAGACCATGGGATATTTTCCCACTTATTTGTATCTTCAATTCCTTTTATCAATGTTTCATAGTTTTCAGTCTATGACTTTTTTACTTTCTTGGTTAAATTTATTTTCTTGGCAATGATTTTTTGGATATCACACCAAAAGCATAGTCAACAAAAGCAAAATAAACAAGAGTGACTTTGTCAAACTAAAAACCTTCCGCACAGCAAAGGAAATAATCAACAAAATGAAAAGGCACTCTACTGAGTGGGAGAAAACATTTTCAAACTACAAATCTCATAAGTTTTTAAAATCCAAAATATATAAGAAATTCACATAAAGTTAATACCCCCCAAATCCTCCAAATAGCCTGATTAAAAATGGACAAAAATGCACAGATATATGAAAAGAGGCTCAATCTCATTAATCTTCGGAAATGCAAAGTTAAACCACAATGAGCTTTCACCTTACATTTGTTAGGATGGCTATAATAAAAAAGATAAGAAGTAACAAGTATTGGCAAGGATGTGGAGAAAAAGTAATCCTTATACATTGTTGATTAGAATGTCAATTGGTACAGCCATTATGGAAAACAGCGTAGTGGTTGCTAAAAAGAATGAATTGAACTACTGTATCATCCAGAAGTCCCTTTGATGGGTATATATTAAAAGGAAATGAAATCAGCATCTCATACTTCCATTCATTGCTGCCTACACAACAACCTACGTGTCCATTGAAGGATGACTGAGTAAAGAAGTTGTATATATATATACACAACTTGAAGCAGGAAACTTGAACAGTGGAAAGTAAATGAAAAGAATTTTGCTTATTCACCTGTCAGAAATATAATTTGTCAGACCCTGCTAGCTGTCTCAAAATATCTGTTTAAACTTTAATTCTCATAAGACATATATATATTATATATATGTGTGTGTATTTATTTCAGCCTTTATAACGGAGATCCTGACATTTGTGACAACATGAATGAGTCTAGAATACATTAGTATAAGAGATGTAAACCAGACACAGAAAGAAAAAAATCCCTTACAATTTCACTTACATGCAGAATTTAAATTCATATACATAGAAACAGAGAGTAGAATGGTGGTTACCAGGGATGGGGAGGGAAAGAAAATGGGAGATATAGGTCAAAGGGTACAAACTTCTAATTATGTAAATTAAGAGTAGAGACATAATGTTCAGTGTGAGAACTACATTTATTGATATTGTATTATACAGTAAAAATTTGAGAAGAATCCATTTTAGGTACTTTTACTGCACACACAAAAGATAAACATTTGATATAGTGGGTATATGAATCTGCTTGATTGTAGTAATAATTCATGATGGATATCTATATCAAAACATCATGTTGCATACCTTAAATATATACAATAAAAATGAAAAGAATGGCATATAAAGTAATAGATGCATATAAGTGTATATTTTTCATTTTCTCCTTTTTTGTTGGTAACATTTTTTTCCTTTTGTTTTCTATTATATATAGTGATTCAACCATGTTTCATATTGTTTTTACAATTGAGAAAGGCATACTTTCAACATATTAAAGGCCAGACACTGTTTATATTCAAAGGAACAGTATTGACAAAGTTTTTGCCTTCAATACTGACAGTTCAGTAAAGGATATAGACAGAAGAAGAAAAAATTTTGGATAGCAGACACATAGGTTGTTTCTGAATGGAAAATCTTTTGTGTTTTAGGTGCACATGCAGTTGGGCAGGAAAGAATTCCCAGTGGGAGTGACTTTTAGAATGATAAATGAAGGATAAAAAAAGAATGAGGAAAATCAACTATATTTTTTGACAGGGAAACAGCATATGGAAAAAGATTAGCCACAAAAGTTACAAAAGCAGAGGAAAAATGTATATTAAAGTGCCCGGAGTACATTGCTATGGGAAATTTAGTTTCAGATTTTGACCTTTTTAGAGAGGAAGTGTGGTAAACAGTTTGTGTTTTTATTGTGTGTAGCTATTAATATCATAAAAATGCAATACCCTTATTTACAGCTTTTCATATTCCTTTTAGAAATTTTTGTAAATCTTTATATATATAAATACATATATTAGTATATATTTCTTTAGCTGCTTTTATTCTTTATTTCTTTCATTTTATTTTTTTGGCATGTGTTTTCTCATTTTAGTGAAATTCTGTGTTTGTATTTAAATATATGTATCTACATTTGTCAGATTTTTTTGCAATACCAAAATATTCAAATTTCCCAATATTGTAATCTGTTTTCACCATCTTCCTTTTATCTTTATATATTTTTTTGAAAAGCTGATAACATTAACAATTTTGGTTGTTATTGATTCAGTGTACTTTAGAATCTTATAATTCCTAGTTTTAACATGTTTGGTATTAAAGAATTGAGGTTTATATTTGTCTTTCATGTCAAAAATATTTCAGTTGCAAGTTAGCTTTTTTATTTTCTTTAACATAGAATTATTTATTTTTACCTCTGAGGATACATGGTAGGAAGATTTTTGTGGTTTTGTGTCTTCTATTTTTAGTTCCCAAAATAGTAGCTGTCGTAAAGAAAGTAAGTGAATTAGTGAACATAACATTCGAAAGTTTGATTATGGAAGCTGAGAAGTCCTAAGGTCTACAGTCAGAAAGCTGGAGACCCAAGAGAGCTGATGATGCTTGAGTCTAGGTTTGATTTAGTTCTGGTCTGAGTCTGAAAACTTGGGAGCCAAGAAAACTGATGATTTAAGCTCCAGTCTGAGAACCAGCAGCCTCAAGAACCAAGAAGAGCAGATGTTTCACTTCAAGTCGAAAGGTAGAAAAAAAAAATCTGTGTTCCAATTCAAGCAGTTAGAAGGAATTATTTCTTATTCATAAAAGTACCAATCCTTGGTTCTACTCAGGACTTCAACTGATTTGATGAGGGCTACCTGCATTATAAAGGGCAATTGATTTCCTCAGTCTAACGATTCAAATATTAACCTCATCCAAAAAGATCTTCACAAGTCACCTAGAATAGTGCTTAACCAAGTATTTGGGCACTCTGTGACTTAGTCAAGTTGACAGAAACACACAATTAACTATTACACTGGTATAAACAAATAAATAGAGACAAATCTCCCTTGAGGAAGGATTCCAATACTTTATACAGACATTTTACATTCAAGGAACTGGAGAGTAACTCACCACTCATGAAGTATGGGCAACACATAGCAACTTCCTTACAAAGAATATCATATTCAAAGGAGATAAAAAGAGTAACTTTACAGTGGAGAAACCTGACAAGCAGCATCTCAGGCACATGGTCAAGGTCAACCTGAAAAGTAGTAAGACATGTTGAAGACATGTATCTGCATCTGGATATGCTGTGATAAAAATGACATAGCCTCTGTGGCATTCCCCTTTAGAAGGCCATAACCCCAGTCTAATCATGAGATAGTCATGAGATAAGTTTCAATAGAAGGAAAATTTTCAAAATACCTGAACAATACTCTTCAAAACTGTCAAATTCTTCAAAAGCAGTGAAAGAAACCATCACAGTCAAGAGGAGCCAAAGGAGAAATGGTGACTAAGTGCAATAAATTCTGGATGAAAGACGTCAATCATAAGGGAAATCGGTGTAGGTTTATGTGACTAATTTGTACTACATTCACAAGTTCCCTGTGAATCTAAAATTGTTACAAAATAAAGTTTATTGAAAATAAAATCATTACTGAATTAAAAAAAGAAACTTTTGGATTGAAAGAAACAATATTACCATTATTTGTTCTTTTGTTGAAAAGTGTAAAAATCTACTAACCTATTTTTTTTTCTCTTTTGGTATTTCTAATTTGGAGATATACCTCTGTTTTTTTTCCTTATATTTTATTTTTTGGTATTTCAATTTGAAAATGAAATTACAATTTAAACTTTCAAAAGTTGTGAACATGCCTGTTATGGAAAGAAATCTTGAAAGAGGTTTGTGGGGAAGATGTCACTAGACCAGGAAGAGTGAGAGTATTTTAAATAAGTTAGTTTGGCTGGAAAGTTCACTGTCTATGCTCATTGAACTCCACATTCCTTATTTCTTGGAGAACATTATGATTCTTTTGATTGACTCACTGAAGGCTTGTCTGACTTGCTTGTTCCTCAGTGTGTAAATGAAAGGGTTCAGCATGGGGGCGATGGAAGTGGTGAGGACTGTCACACCCTTGTTAATGGCCACCTCTTCCTTTGCTGAAGGTTTGATATAGATGAAGATGCAACTGCCATAGGTGATGGAAACCACGATCATATGGGAAGAACAAGTAGAAAAGGCTTTTTTCTTTTGCTGTGCAGAAGGGAATGCTAAAATTGTCTTGATGATGTAAATGTAAGACAGAGCTACACACGTAAGTGTCATAATGAGGGTCAGCACAGCACAGATGATAACAGTCTGTTCCATGAACCAAGTATTTGAACAAGAGATCTTCAGGAGAGGAGATGCATCACAGATAAAATGATCAATAGCATTAGAATCACAAAATTCCAGATTTAGACCTAGGCTAAGTGGGGGGATTATAATAAACAGACCAGCAACCCAACAGCAAAAAACAAGACTTCTGCAGACAGTGCTACTCATGATGGTTACATAATGCAGTGGCTTGCAGATGGCCACATAGCGGTCATAGGACATGGCAGCCAGGAGAAAAAATTCAGTTACACCAAAAAGGTCCGTAAAAAATACTTGACTGGCACAGGCATTGTAGGTAATCATCTTGTCACCTGTTGCTATGTTATACAAGAATCTGGGAATGCAAGCGGATGTGAAGGAGATCTCCAAGAAAGCGAAATTTTGTAGGAAATAGTACATGGCTGTTTTAAGGTGCGAATCCACTAAGATGAGAGTGATGATAGTCAGGTTTCCAGTTACACTCAGCATGTAGGTGAGCAAGAAAAAGATAAAAATTAGAACCCGCAGTTGTTGGTCATCTGTCAGTCCCAGTAGAACGAATGTTGTTACTGTATTGTTCCTCATTGCTGATTTCCAACTTCTGTTAGATTTGCATGCAACATTCAGAGACATTTTGTTATAGATTATTTTAACAGCATTAAAACTATCATATTCAGAATTTTCTTATTCATTATGATTTTTTTAACTTTAAATACATATTCTGTAAAGGATTACTTTTCTATCAGTCTGTCATTTCATGGAAAGCAAAGATGTCCTTTGACTCTCAAGATTTCTGTCTAATACATTTTCTCGACACATTGATTTTTCTTAAAGTGCTAATATATAAATATATGGGTTCACAATCACTTGAAGTCTCTAGTCCCACTTTATGATGAAAAATTTTTGTTTTCTGCTTTTGTTTAGTACATATGGGTATTTCCTGAACACTTCTAGACTCTAGAATGTATATGTACACACACATATATACATACACACACACAAAACTTCCCCAGTTCCCCTCCTTACACTGACTCCTTCTCAGGTTTCTCTGTCTCTAAGTAATCCATGGTGGTACATAATACAGAATGTTTTAATGCACAATATTCTAAAAAATATGCATAGTTTGCATTTATACCTTAATGAAATTCTCTGATAAATAAACTTCAAATATACTGGAGATGCTATGTTTCTGTGATCCTTTTGTCTATTTGTTAGTGCTCTCTTTTTCTCCCAGGATATCCTGTTTCAATTTATTTTTGGCTTATGTAGCTTAATCTTAACCAAGAGAGAAAACATGGAAAAAATATGGAAAATGATTAATCTGATTTAAGACATAAAATAGGAATTATGGCATAGTGAAAGCTATTTACACAAGCACACAACATTAACCAAATTTGGAGAGAGTTGCATATTCAGTTAGAAACAATGATTCTTCTGGTAGTATGAGATCATGAAACCTCAGTTTGAATTACCTTTTTTTTTTTTTTACAAACAATTTAAAAATTATTGAAATCTGTTGGTGTTTTATTTATCTGTCTTTACTTTTCACCATACTTGTAACTACTCTGTATTTTCACCAATTCTTAATGTTTTGAAATATCTTTCAGGTGATCATTATTAAATATGTATTTTATTTTGCAATGGCCCTTTCTAATTCTCAGCTGCAATCTGAATGATCTACTTGAACATTGCACATGGACTTCAACTTTACTACGTCACAAGTAAAACTCACCACCTTCTCCATCTTATGAAGTTGCTCCTTCTCTTAATGTGCTCTTTTAAAAAATGTAATTTTCAAAAATGACAGGAGGCTACATTTAATGAGCATACTCCGTGCAACAGATATTTTGTTATATGCTTCTCACAGAACTTCTATTTTCTGTTCTCAGCTCATCTGAGTGATTTCTATTTTTCCATGGGTTTTCAATTTCAGTTTTAAGCCCCCTAGAAAATTTCCTGTGATTCTGGTGACTATGCTATCTGTAATTCCTATCACTGCACTCCCACAGAAAACAATGCTTGCTGCTATATTTGCACTTAGGAAAGAAAACTAATTTATTGGTATTATGAGATATATGTCTTTTTCACCATAATAGCCTACACAATGGACACAGTTCCAGATACATTTTCAATGGTCTAGCAAATGTTTCTAAATGGATTTATCAATAGCCTGCTTTCCAATCAGGCACGCTCAAAGCTATTTTCCTTTCTATTTGATCTCTTAATTCAAAGTGTTTTGATATTAACTTTATTTACATTTCCTATATCTTTGAACCTGTTGTTAAATTTCTTTTTTACTCTGCTTTTAAAGTGAATTAACATGACTGCTTTTGTTTATTATCTTCACAGCTGATAACAGACTGCCTTCTTTTCACCAGATCTTCTGGTATAATTTTTTTCTCCAACCCTCCTCTGATCTCTCAGGCAACACAAGCATCACATCATTGGGTAAACTTAGCTCTGTCACCAATGGACATCAATGCTCTAAAGAGATATATGTATTTTTTCTCTTATGGTATAAGAAAACAAGATTTGTAAAATGACTCATAGGAAATGTGACTAGCTGATTCTTGTTTATTCTACTTTAAAAACATGTTTAAAATAAGAACAGGAATCTCTAATGAGGTGATGCAACTTCAGTCAATTTGTCTCTCTTTTGGGAGACTGAGGGCTATGCTTGCAAAATTGTACGCAATATCTCTCATTTTTTTGATGTAAGGTTGAAAATATAGGTTGTATATTTCTAGATAGTTATCAAATTTTAACATCTAAATGCCAATATATTCTTGTGCATAAAAAGCTCCCAGAAGATGACATTTGTATATCCATAGGAAGCCATATTCTAAGAAAAAAACGATGCTTTACCAAATATAGACATTATTACTCACATTTTAGATTTTTAAGAGATAGGTTAGATATGTTTTCTCTTCCAGAGCACAAGAAAATGCAGATAAAAAAATGTAATCAAAATGAGAAACTTTATCTCACTTACTATTATGACTATCAATCATAGTTTCTATTGATTGTTGAAACATACAAAATCTTAAAATTCCTAAATTGAAACTGGTAGTTGAGATGAATGTTTTTATATGAATGGCTGATCACTTTTGCTTATTAATTCACTGTCACATTCAAGACGACTCTGAGATGCATAGACTTCTCTAAAGCATCGACCTTCAACCAATTACTTGAACTTTCTTGATACAATATTATAGCTCTCTAAAATAAATTAAAAGAAAAAATGTTATCCCATAAATGCTGTAGACTGTCAGGAATCTTCTCCAGTTTCAGGATAGTTGCTACTCTGACTTCTCAGGGCAGATAACACATTGCTATACCTAGTTTAACATTTGCTCTATTTGTTAAAAATGTGACTAGATGAATAAACAGAGTCCCTGGTGACACACGAACAAAGTCACTAATGAATCTTAGTAATTTGAGCTTAAAAAAAAGCATGCTACCTGGTTTCTTTGGAGACAGTGTCCTTGGGGACAGGTGGATGCAGCAGTGAAGAAAGGCCAATAGACAAGAAGAATCTGATTATAAAATAAAACACAACTTCAGCTCTTTTTTGCTGTCACTTGACATAAACTGAGGTCTACCATATGAGAGGAACGTAAAGAAACCATACTTGTCATTTACTGATTTTTTGTATGAATTGGTTACTTCAGTTGGGAAATGTTAGACAACCAAAACAGGAAATCATATGTAAAATCACATAACCTCATTTTAATTTCATTTAACTTCAGCTCACAAGATTAATGTAACATCAGAATTTTAACCAATTTTAGTTGTACAATTTGATGCATTTTGACAAATGTATACACCTGTGTAACCAGTACCACAATAGGAATGGAATATTCCATCACCCCCCAAAAGGTCTTCCTCTTTGTCCCTTTTCATTATTCACCCTATCCCCAACTCCGGACAAACAGTGATCTGGTTTTTTGTCATCATACATACAATTTATAAAGAGTCTTTTCTAAAAAAGAGTTTTATATGAGTGGAATTATACAGATGTATGATTTTGAGATTGGCATCTTTGACTTAACATAAAATTTTTGAAATTCATTCTTGTTATATGTATCAGTAGTTTATTTTTAAAACAAAGTTTTATTTAAAATGTCAAATATAATAAAGCTTACCTTTTTAGTGTAGACAGTTTCATGGATTTTAATATATTCATAGCATTTTGCAATATTTTAGAACATTTAATTTTAGAACATTTTTATCACGACAAAAAGAAAATCATTAGCAGTCATTTCCATTCTCCCCTATTTCCAGTTGCTGAAAACAATCTTTACTTTGTCTGTATGGAATTGTCAATTCTGGACTTTTCCTATAAATAGAGTAATAGAATATATACTATTTTGTGAAGGGCTTGTTTTACTTAGCATAATGTTTAAGGTTCACTCATGTATCATATATAAGTATTGCATTCCTTTTTATTGCCAAATAATATTTCATTGTATGGATAGATTACACTTTGTTTATTCATTCATTAATTGATTCCACTTGGATTATTCTGATTTTTGTCTATTATGAATAATGCTGCTATGCTGATCATAAATCATTTGTTCAAGATTTTTGTGTACATGTATTTTTAATTCTCTAGAGTATATACTACCTAGAAGTAGATATTCTGGGTGAATTGCTAATTCAGTGTTTAATTTTTGAGGAACTATGCAACTATATTTCAAAATTACTGCACTCTGTTATGAATAGTTCCATCAGCAATGAAAGAGGGTTTCAAAATCTTTACATCTTCACTGACATTTGTTTTGTCTGTTTTTTATATTTTAGTCATTCTAGTACATCTGAAGTGGTATTGCAATGTGGTTTTGATTTGCATTTCCCTAATGACTAATGATATTGAGTATATTTTCATGTGCATATTGCTCATTTGTATATTTTCTTTGTAGACATAACTATTAAAATACTTTGCATATTTTAAAATTTGTCTCTCTATTGTTGAGTTGTTAGAGTCCTTTATATAATTAATACACATATTCTTTATCAATATACAATTTGCACATATTTCTCCCATTCTGTGGGTAGTCTTTTCAGTTTCTTAACAGTGTCCTCTGAAGCACAAAAGTTTTAATTTGGAGGAAGTACAATGTATGTATTCTATTTCTTTTTTCTTTTATGCTGTTGGTGTTATTCTATTGCCTAAACAAGGCCATGAACATTTAATGTGCTTTTCTAATTTTAGTATTTACATTTAGGTCTTTGATCCATGTGAAGTTAATTTTTGTATATGTTATGAGGTAGGAGGTCCTTCTTCATAATTTTTATGTGGGGATAAAGCAGTTTCAGCACCATTTGTTGAAAAGCTATACTTTGCTCTCGAATTGTCTTAGCACTCTTGTTGAAATTCACTTGACCATAATAATTAGGGTTTACTCTGAACCCTCTATTGTATTGTTCTGTATGACTATACTTATGAGAGATTTTATTTTTATTACTGTAGCTTTGTGAGGTGAGGTTTGAAATCAAGAAATATGATTCTTCCCACCTGTTGTTTTGCAAGACTGTTTTGCCTATTATGGTTGCACTTCCATAAGAATAAGTGTCAGTATTCC